AAAAAAAAAAAAAAAAAAAAAAAAAAAAAAAAAAAAATTGTAGGTCACCTCAATTCAGGGTTTTGTATCAAAAGTAGAGATGTCTATGAAACGAAAACTCAATTCTTAATATTAAAGCTAGAAAAACAAGACCGTGGATCTCAGGAGAATGAACGAGAAGCCATGATGTAGGAAATAAAGTTTCATCTTCCACCTTGAAGTCAGCTGAGGATAATATTAGAGGAATTTTATAAAGTCACACAGTCATGAGCAGGAAGACAGATTAGAATTCATCTAATTTGTAACTTTGCTTCTTGGTAAAATTGTCCCTGAGATCAAAGACATCATTAATATTCTCCTTAGGGACATATTTCAACAAAATGTGATAGAATAAAATGTTTGCAGTTTCCAAACAAAGATTCTTTGCTTGCTACTTGACATTGGACTTTAAATTTGTTCTCTACGTTGTCTTCCTTAACTATTCTTCAGGTCTTTGTGCCCAGGATGTGGGGCAAGCAGTTGAGAGAACTGGGTGAAAGGTGTTAGAGAGGTAGGCAGGAAAATTAGAGAGGGTGGAAAGTCCCAAAATCCTTTCTAGAGGTGGAGCGTGGTTCTCTTGCTACACTTACTACATTAGAATAAGCATGTCTCTTTTTGCTATTTACTAAATATAGACTAAAACAGTTCTCCTTCTTAAACAGCAGGGACCACGCAGAGGCTGCCTTTGGATGAAGTCCAGGAAGTGCTTCCCCCAATACCAGAACTATAAGTTACTTCACAGTGTATCCGTGAGATCAATATACACGGTGAGTGATTATTTGGCTTTATCGACTTTATTCATTATAAACACAGATAGATTCAAGGGGGCACAGTTGAACCCCAACTCCATTTCTGTCTGGTAGGAGGTAGAAAATGATGAATTTGCAAAGTCAGTTCATATGAATTAGATGACATGAAATAAAATGACTATTTTCTCCAAGATCTAGGGAGGATCAGTAGATGGATCTCTTAGTTTTTTAAACTGCTCCTGAGATGTTAGCTTATCCCTTGACCCTGTTTTTCCTGGAGTTGAGCCATAATTTAGTTAGACTATGAGAAAACAGAGAATGAGATGTGTAAAGCAAACTGTCTACTCCCTGATATTGAAATACAAACTTCTCTAAATGTAACATCTGATAATCTAAATTAATGCCTATTGATTTCCATGTATTTAAGTCTAAAAGTATGGTCAAAAGTGTTGAAATTTTTTCATTCATTCATCAAATCTTCCTTAAGTAGCAATTACATTAAAGGCACTAGGAATAGCCATTGTAGGGAGTATAAAAATTGTAACAGAGAAGGGGAGGGAAACTAGCATTTGTTAGTACCCCTCTTACTGTGCTTTGTGGTAATTGGTTATATCATTTACTCTTCAGAATACGTTGGTGGTTATCAGTCAAGGTACTATCAGGAAATTGATATTGTACTCAAATTGAATACTTTGAGAAGAGTTTAATGAAGGGCATATTAAGCCAGGATGTGGGAAAAACGAAAAGGGAGAATGCAGCACCCTGAGACAAGGAATAGTGGGGCCCTGCTACTGTCTTTAAGACTAAAGGAGAAAGAAACCCAGAGAGACAGAGACAGAGGCAGACATGCATGCATGTGTACACACACACACACACACAAATGTGTGAGGAGGGCTGTTTGACAGGAGCTGTGACATTTGCTCAAGGGACACTATAGCCTGGGGTCACCCTGAAAAGAGAGAATAGCTATCCCAACTTTGGGAACTCTTATACACTGTTGGTAGGAATGTAAGCTAGTGTAGCCACTATGCAAAACAGTAGGAGATTTCTCAGAAAACTTAAACTAGAACTACTGTTCCATTCAGCAGTCCCACTACTGGGCATCTACCCAAAGGAAAAGAAATCACGGCAGGGTGCAGTGACTCATGCCTGTAATCCCAGCACTTTGGGAGGCTGAGGCGGGCAGGTTGCTTGAGCTTAGGGGTTCAAGACCAGCCTGAGCAACATGGTGAAACCCTGTCTCTACAAAAAATACAAAAATTAGCCAGGCATGGTGACATGTGCCTGAAATCCCAGCTACTGGGGAGGCTGAGGCAGGAGGATCACTTGAGCCTGGGGAGTTGAGGCTGTAGTGAACTGTGTTCATGCCACTGCACTCTATCTTGGGAGACAAAGTGAGACCATGTCTAAAAAAAAAAAAAAAGAAAGAAAGAAACAGAAAAAGAAAATAAATCACTATAGTAAAGGGATACCTATGCTCACATGTTTATTGTAGCACTATTGACAATAGCAAAGATATGGAATGGACCTAAGTGCCCATCAACAGGTGAATGGATAAACAAATGTGGTCCATATACACAATGAAACATTTGCTGTAAAAAATGAAATCATGCCATATGCAGCAACATGGATGGGACTGAAGGTCATTATCTCAAGTGAAGTAAGCCACGGACGAAAAGGCAAATATCACATGTTCTCCACTTGTAGATGAGAGTTAAAAAAATTGATCACATAGAGGTAGAGTGGAAAGATAGAGAACAGAGACTGGGAAAGGTAAGTTGTGGGGAGAGGATGAAGGGAAATGGATTAAAGGGTACAAACGTACAGTTAGATAGAAGGAATAAATTGAACATCTGAAAGCACAGTAGGGTGACTATAATTACACAAAAATGTATTGTACTTGGGCTACAGATACCCTAAATATTCTGACTTGATCACTAATCACTGTGCATTATATACATAGAACAAAAGTTAGCAGGTACCCCATAAATGTGTACAAACAACCCCAACTTTGCCATCCTTTCTTCCTCTAATGTGCTAGTACTCCCCCATTGACCAAACCCAGTCAGAGCCAGAGGGCACTAGAGCCCAGTGGAGGCAGTTATGTAAGTTGACCTCCTAGGGCACCGAGCAGGGTGGAAACGAGTAGAGGGCAGATCGGGAAAGATAGCCAAAGGGATCCAGCGTAGATGGCTCAATACGCCAAACTGAAACTAAGTGCCAAGGATCTATCTGTGTTCAAGATTAAAGAGAGGCGGGTCTTACTACTTTGGGTCTCAATGCAACCGGGGTCTGCTGTTGGCTCAGAAATTCCTAAGTAGCATATAATGTAGTCATATGATTGTGTCAGTGATATATTACTGGATATTATTATGCTTGAGACCTCTGATTCTGGTTCTTCATTCTGGGATGTTTATCTTTGCATCTGAAGGGTTCCTCTTTCTTTGTTCATTCACCAAATGATTTTTGACCACCTACTGTATGTTGAGAATTCTACTCATTGACAAAAACAACAATGTAGTCAATGGAGGAGTCAGATTAGAGAACCCCTAATTCCAATAAAGACTCAAGTAACATGACAGAGGGATTCACACGGGAAGAGAGGGCCTTGGGGAGCACAATAGAGAGACTCCTCCTTCAGAGGACATGATGCCTAGCGTTTAGATGTTCAATAAGGATTTGTCGAGTGAATGAATAAATCCCAATTTCTATGTCTCTGTGCTAGAATCATGGAATGTTATAAGTGAAAGAAACTAGCATGAACACTTACACTTTCATTTGATAGAGATAGAAAATAAACCAAACATACTGTAGCAGCAGATGTTAGAGGAGACTCTAGGTTTCCTTGGTCCTAGGCTGAGAAGTTTGTTATCACTGAGCACATTGTCTTCTTAGGGATATAATGGGGGATGCCATCACATCACACAGAATCAGCCCTGGGGTCACCCTGAAAAAAGAGAATAACTATCCCAACTTTGGGAACTCTTATACACTGCTGGTAGGAATGTAAACTAGTATAACCACTACAGAAAGCAGTATGGAGATTTCTCAAAAAACTAAAAATAGAACTACTGTTCCATTTAGTAGTCCCACTACTGAGTATCTACCCAAAGGAAAAGAAGTCATGGAAGGCTGCGGTGGCTCATGCCTGTAATCCCAGCACTTTCGGAGGCCGAGGCAGTCAGGTTGCCCTGAAAGAGCCCTGAATCAGAGACTTGAGGACATTTTTTGGTGGTCTTATAAGGCATAGTTTTAACAACTGGTTTTAAAATTGTTTTCTACCAGTTCTAGTTCAAGTAACACTTAACAAAATTTTTGTGTGAATAATATTTTCTTGCTTTTATTTAAATCTTCAGAATATCCCTGGGCACCTTGGACTGAGCCCTTTGAAGAATACTCATAATTTTATTTTGTGAATGCGTAGACTGGAAAATGTTTGGGTCCAGCTGAGGATGCACAGTTGGAAAGCAGGAGGAATGCTGACTGGTTGATGAAAACTAGCTTAAGAGCATTCATTTGACCCATGAGATCAAGGGAACAAGAGTGTTTGCAAGAAGCCGTTATGAGTCATGGAAAACAAGATGATGAAACCCATGGAAACAGCAAGAGAATTCTTACTCTTTGTCTTCTTAAAAAAATCTATCACATACAACACAGAATGGAGTCAAGATTTTAATTTTGAGGAACCAAAAAAAGGATCAAATATGAAAACCCTTTCTTTTATTGAGCCACATTGTAGGTGCTGATTCGATAATTTTTTCCTATGCAGATAGATTTTTTCTATTTTGTAGATTATTTAAGAGGGTCTGGTTGTTTGTTTATACGTTTGTTTGCATTTATGAATTTCGCTGCCTTTTGGCACCAGGCTGTTTTTAAAAAAATTCAAAGAGGCCGGGCGCGGTGGCTAACGCCTGTAATCCCAGCACATTGGGAGGCCGAAACGGGAGCACCACAAAGTCAAGAGATCGAGATGATCTTGGCCAACATGGTGAAACCCCGCCTCTATTAAAAATACAAAAATTAGCTGGGTGTGGCGGCGCGTGCCTGTAGTCCCAGCTACTTAGAAGGCTGAGGCAGAAGAATCGCTTAAACCAGGAGGCGGAGGTTGCAGTGAACCAAGATCATGCCACTGCATTCCAGCCTGGCGACAGAGCAAGACTCTGTCTCAAAAAAAAAAAAAAAAAAAAAAATTCAAAAATACCAAAATAAAACGAATTTAAATAAAATACTTAAGTACTTAAATCTAACAGCAAAACGTTTCCTTTGATTCTTTTGGCTTTCATATTTGTTATAGCCATTATTAATGTCAAGCATAATTATAGTTATTAATGACAATAAAAAAGCAAATATAGACAAGAGGGCAGCTCTTAACATTAAAATATAAAAATGCTTTTCCAGAGTTAAGGTGGAACTTAATCTCCTGGCCATCATTATATGGTTAAAATTGCTTATCTGAGTTGATTTACAGGGTTAACTGCAGGGTCAGATTTAATAATCAGTGATGGGGTTGAGGACATGCTACCCCAAAATATGGCACCTTGGCAAACTGAATGTTTTAAGCTGAAGGATTTGAGAAAATGGCAAATTTTAAGTGGAAATATTACTCTGACCTTCCTTTGCCACCTTTCTCCTTGGAAGCAGGTAATAAAACCTTTGCTGACCTTCCTCGAAAACACATCATAGGACCTCATGTGAGAGGTGCTCTTCCTATATCCACAGAGGAAAGGCAGTTCCCTATCTCCCAAGACACAGGCACACAGAGGAGAATCTGAACAAACGGGCCCTGCTAAGTTTCCCTCCATTTATTCCTATTAGATCTAGTACTCCTTTTGCCTGATCATATTTCTCCAAGTCTTTCTCCATTCTTCATCAAACCTACTACTAAAAACACTCAAGTATAACTGTTTCCTCTGATCTTCATTTCCTAGAGATGGCCCTTGTGTTATGTAGAATTAATTTAAATAAATCACTATGTTTTTCTCTGGTTAATCTTTTGTTATAGAGGATTCAGCTCTGAATTTAAAAGGGTAGAAGGAAAAGATATTTTTCCCTTCCTACATAAGCAATCTAACAGGCATGAATATTCCAGAGTTTTTTTTTTTTTTTCTGGTATTTGATTATTTTTTTCTATAGATCACAAATTGAGATTCTAATTGTAAAATTTAGAGATTGAAGATTTGGCAAATGGAATTATAGTAGTCTCGCTTTTTCTTGTCTGTGTATCCCTAAATAATAGGTGAGTCAAACTCAGGTCTGGGATTTTTCAGCAGGCGTGTAGGGCTATTACACCCTATGAGATATGGATACTATGCAACTTCTCAGAAGCCAAATTATTGTTTCCCTACACACTACCTCTTATGTTCTGACAAATGACTTAGAAATCAATGAGAACTTGGCTTGCAAAAAGCATATATTAAGCTTCGAGTCCAGTTAAATTGTGACAGCTTTCAGGAAGCTAATTTCACCTATTCATTAAAATAATTGACTTTTAACAGATACTGTGAAGCACACAAAGATGTAGATGGCCTACACTGCCTACAGAGAATTTACACTCTGGCAGAGGAGACAGGATGTGTACGCATCTGGTGAAAATACTAGACACAATACAGTAAGCTAAGTGTCAATTGCAGGATGCAGGCTTCCTGCTGAGAATTTACAAGCCAATAGGATCAATTCCAGTTGGGAGGAATTAGGGCAGGCTTTTGAGCAGGGTTTTGAAGATGGCTTTTCCTGATTTCCCAGAATCACCAAACCTCTTAAATACACACGTTCTCAGCCCCCATAACTGTTTTCATACCTATTACTTTGCCATTATTTTTGTGATTACGAATTAATGTCTGGCTTCCTTTCTAGACTGGAAGCTGCATGAGGACGGGGAACATGTCTGGTTCTGCTCACCATAGTATCCCCAGCAGCTGGTAGGGTGTTTGGCTCACAGTAGGTCCTTTGTAAATATTTGCTGGATAAAGAACTAGGCCGGGTGCAGTGGCTCACACCTGAAATCCCAGCACTTTGAGAGGCAAAGGCAGGAGGATCGCTTGAGGCCAGGAGTGTGAGGCTGCAGTGAGCTATGGTTGTACCACTGCACTCCAACCTAGGCAACAGAGTGAGACTCTGTCTCTGAAAAATAAGGACCTATTTATCAAGCCTTCACTCTACATCTGGCATGGGCCTTGTGTACTCTCATTTCTTCCTCAAAATGATGCCTTGAAACAGGTGTCATTCTCTCTGAGGAAGCTGAGGCTAAGGGAAGCTCACCAATCCTATTGATTGATATACTTCAATCTTAGGTTGGTCAGGCTGCAAAGCCTGTGCAGCTTCTACAGTCTGCCCTGTGGGGTAGAGACAGGGCAAAGAGAGCAAAATGGATGGGGGGGCGGGGGCGTGCCTGAGAGAAGTGGCTATGGCTGAGAGTACTGTCAAAGATCTCTTCAAGGAGCGCAAGGAGGCTGGGTGAACTGGGCCCTGGAAGAAGACATCTCACTGGAGTTGCTATGTGGTCACTGGTCCTGTGTGTCTCCCCTAGCCTGGCAGTTCTGTCCCCCTCTCCATACAACTGGCCCCAGTAACAACCAACCTGGGGTCCTTGGTGCCTCGTATGATTGATGGCTTCCCATTGACACCATTAGTTTTTTGTGTACCCTGCTTTCCAGTTGGTTCCAAACTTGACTTTGACCCACCCACACCCCCTCCCTATGACTTGTGGCTTAGTCCTGTGTTCATGGCTCTCACTGCAGGCTTTCCTCCCCAGCTGTAAGCCACAGTCATCTCCTTGACCTCTGCATCCTGTTGAGCAGCCAGGTCCTTAGCCTTCCATTCAAAGAATTCAGGTGTAGATTGAAGAGGGAGAGAGGAAACATGGCACCATGCAGGAGTCTTTTAGTCACTAAGCACACAGTGGAATTCGAGTGACAGAAAGATGAAGAGAAAGAAGAGAGGGTATGGATGGAGAATTGGTGGTGTTTGATAAGTGATTTGATGCAGGGGTGATAGTCAGGGTAGGCAGAGAAAGGAGAGATGAGACACACGTGAAAATCTTCCAGACTCCTGTGTGCAGAAAACAAATATTGTCCGAACTTATAACTACTAGTTTTTAGTTTCTAGAAGAATTTTTATTTTCCAGAGGATTTCTACCGAACTCTGTACTTTCATCCTAGCCTGAAGTTGTACTCTTCCCTTATCTATACTCAGTCATGCCTGGATGGAACAGTCATTCAGACCACGTTCTCTTCCCTGCCTTTTTAATGATTGTTACATTTGCCCTTTCCTTTCATCTTTATAAATCCTTTTCATCAAAGGCAGATAGGCCACCTTGTCCATGAAGTTTCCCCTGCTCACCCCAGATGGTACAATGTCTGGTTCTTTTTCGGTGTTTTTCTAGGATTTAGTCCTCTTATCATGGTACTTCTCACATCTTGCCTTGTACCGCAGCTAGTTGTATTCATTTCTCTTTCCCTACCAGACTGTAAGTGAGAGCGGGAACCATATCATCTCCAGCTTCTGAGTCTCTGATGATAGGTACTCACTTCTCTCCAACCTGCTTCTCCCAAGCAATAATCATCTGGGTTAATGGAGTTAGCCAGATGTTGGCTGTAGATTCAGGTTATCTGTAAGGGGATGGAATTGGAGGCCCACACATCAGGGCCTTCTAGCACAATGATAATGTCCTTTTATAAATTTGGTGGCAGGTGTATGAGAACTCGTTGGGTCATGATTCTATATAGCTTACATAAATTTTAAAATGAACTTTAGCACTTACTTAATATTTAGTAAAATAAAATTTAAAAATAGACAAACATTGTACTGAATTGCATCCATCCTTACCTTCTCCCTCTGTCAGTAGGTAACTTCTGTCTGTTTATCTCTCTCTGAACTATCTTCCTTTCCCTTTCTGTCAGACATTGTGGAATAAAGACTTGAACTCAATTTTCTGACACAGTTTATTCTCATAATTTGACTCTGTTTACTTCCTTCTCTGTCTCCTTGTCTATTTTACTTCTTTTTCTGTCTACGTATTTCTTCACCATCTCCGACTATTTTTACTATTCTGATGGATGGCAATCTTAGGATAATGAGTGGAAAAGAGTTCTTAAATCTTGAAAATTTAAGTAAGGCGTATTACCAGATTAACCTAGAGTCATGAAAACTAAAACATACATTTAAAAAATCTTCTGTGAACTGGAAATTATATACTTTGGTAAAGGTTCTGAATAGACTTTTTTTTGAAAAGAAGACATAAAAACAGAAAAGTAATGAAAAAATGTTCAACATCACTAATCATCAGGGAAATACAAATCAAAACCATACTGGGGTATCATCTCACTCCAAGTCAAATGGCCGTCCTCAAAAAGACAAAAAATAACATAAATGCTGGAGAGGATGCAGAGAAGAGGAAACTCCTGTACACTGTTGGTGAGAATGTAAATTAGTACAGCCCTTATGAAAAATAGCATGAAGGTTTCTTAACAAACTAAAAATAGAACTACCACATGATCCAGCAATGCTACTACTGGGTATTTATCCAAAGGAAAGGAAATCAATATATCAAAGAACTACCTGCACTCCAGTGTTTATTACAGCACTATTCAAAGTAGCCCAAATATGAAACCAGCATACAGATCCATAAATGGATGAACGAATAAAGAGAATGTGGTACATATATGCATTAGTCCATTTTCACACTGCTAATAAA